TTTATGTGCCCAATATGATTATGAAACAAGTAGGGCTGCGGCCAGTGGGTATTGTGCACATATGTGATCCAGGAATTTTATCAAAGGGAAAAATCTGCATTCCCCACTGACTCTGAGTCTGGCTGGGAAGACTGACAGGGCCCTAGGCACCTACATATGACTGTGAGGTGCCCCCAGGTCCTCAACATTTCCCAGTGCCTAGGTGGGACTCAGGCAGCTGGCTCAGGGAATATCCCAGCACCTCTGTGGATGGCACAGGCTAGTGGGGCAGAGTGGATGCTCTGCACCCTGTGACCTTGGGAGCCCCAGGTGCTAAAACTGTAGAAACTGTGACAGCATGAGAGGGTGCAAGGTGTAGCTGGGTCTCTGGGCAATCACTGCGTGGTTCTACAAGCTCAGTCTACTAGCTGATTGCCTGGGGTGAGTCATTTCAGTGGGTTCTATGCTCACACTGAGGACTGCACAGATTTTTTGTGTGGCTCATGCACAAGCAAGGATGAGTATTGTAAGTACTGTGGGCTAACACTCAGGCATTGATCACCTTGGAGGAGAGGAGGTGAGGATTGATCACATGAACAGGGGTGACCATTTCCCACCCCCACCACTTTCTGTTAATAAGAGGAAATCCACCAGGCCCAACTTGGGTGTTCCCCAAACACTCAACCCACATGGAGCACTAATCAGAGCTCCTTGGCCACATCCAGGACACTTCTGGGCATTCACTGAAAGTGCAGACATGCCACTAAGCCACAGAAGCATAGCTCAAAGGTAAAGGCCAATGGCCAGCACTCAGCTCACTAAGATAATCCTCCGTCTGTGGCACCGGCACCCAGGGTTCCAGTCCCGGTTGGGTTCCAGATTCTGTCCCGATTGCTGCTCTTCCAGTCCAGCTCCCTGCTGTGGCCCGGAAGTGCAGTGGAGGATGGCCCAAGTACTTGGGCCCTGCACCCGCATGGGAGACCAGGAGGAAGCACCTGGCTCCTGGCTTCGGATCGACGCAGCATGCTGGCCACAATGCGCTGGCTGTAGCGGCCACTTGGGGGGTGAACCAACGGAAAAAGGAAGACCTTTCTCTCTGTCTCTCTCTCTCTCTCTCACTGTCTGACTCTGCCTGTCAAAAAAAAAAAAGATAAAGGCCATTGGAAAAAAAATCAGTAAGTGCCATTATGTTCCTAAAGCTGTACCTATTAAATATGTATCATTAAATAAAAGCGTTCTATAAAAAAGGAAATTATAGCAATAAAAGCTCACATTTAAAAACAGGAGGAAAAAAACAATAAGTATCAGGGCCAGCGTTGTGGTGTAGTGGGCTAAGCCTGTGCCTACAGTGCTGGCATCACATATGGGATCCGGTTTGAGTCCCAGCTGCCCATCTTCCGATCAAGCTCTCTGTGTTAGCACAGAAAAGCAGATGATCCTATGCTTGGGCCTCTGGGCCCCTGAACCCACATGGGATACCCCAAAGAAGTTCCTGGCTCCTGGCTTTGGATCAGTTCAGCTCTGGCCATTGCAGCCATTTGGAAAGTAAACCAGCTGAAGATCTTCCTCTCTGTCTCTCCCTCTCTGTCTGTAACTCTCTCTCTCAAATAAATTAATCAAATATTTTCAAAGTAAAATAATAATTGTCTATACAATGCCAAAAAATAAATGCAAAGGGACCAACACTGTGACATAGTGGGTAAGGCCCCCATCAGCAGTGCAGGCATCCCGTATGGATGCTGGCTTGAGTCTTGGCTACTCCACTTCCAATCTAGCTCTCTGCTATGGCTTGGGAAAGCAGTAGAAGATTGCCTAAGTCCTTGGACACCTGCACCAGCATGGGAGACTCAATAGAAACTCCAGTCTCCTGGCTTCAGAACAGCCCAGCTCCAGCCATTGCAACCATTTGGAGAGTGAACCAGATCTCTCTCTCTCTCTCTCTCTCTCTCTCTCTTTATGCCTCTGCCTCTCTGTAACTGTCTACAAATAAATTATATAAATAAATAAATAAATAAAATTTTAAATAAATAAATGCAGAAATTTAAGAGACAAGAATAATGAAAGCATCATGACCCCCACAAAAGAACACAACAACATTTCAATATTAGAATGTAAACATGAAGAGATTGAAGAATTGCCAGAAAAAGAATTCAAAAAATTAATTATAGGATTGCTCAAAAAATTCAGGAGCAAATCCACAAACTAAAGAAATTCATACATGGGAGCCAGTGTGGTGGCGTAGCAGGTAAAGTCACTGCCTGCAAGTGCCAGCATCCCATATGAGTGCCAGTTCAAGTCCCAGTTGTTCCACTTCCATTCCAGCTCTCTGCTATGACCTGGGAAAGCTGGATAAGACGACCCAAGTCCTTGGACCCCTGCACCCGAGTGGAAGACCCTGGCTCCTGGCTTTGGATTGGCACAGCCATCTGGGGAGTGAACCAGTGGATGGAAGACCTCTCTCTCTTTTTCTCTCTCTCTCTGCCTCTTTGTAACTCTGCCTTTCAAATAAATAAATAAATCTTTAAAACAAATAAAGAAATCCATACATGACATGAATGAGAATTTTTCCCATGAAATTCGTATTTTAAAGATAAATAAAAATGAAATATTAGAAATGAAGAATGCAATAAATCAAAGAAAACAATGCACTGGAAAGCCTTAAAAACAGCCTTGATGGAGCAGAAGAAAGAAAAATAAGCTAGAAGATAAATCTTTGGAAATTTTTCAGTCAGACAAAAAAAAGAATAAATCAGAAAAATTAAAAACAGTGCTGGGGATTTATGGGATACCGTGAAACAATCCAACATATGGGTTATAGGAGTTCCTGAAGGTGTGGAAAGGAAGAATGGACTAGAACATCTGTCTACTGAATTAATTATAGAAAACTTCCCAAATTTCATGAAAGAAAGGGGCATCCAAGTACAGGAAGCACATAGAACCCCTAATCGCCATGACCAGAAAAACACCTTCACCATGACACATTGTCATCAAACTTTCAACAATAAAACATAAAGAAAAGATTCTAAAATGCATAAAATAAATGCCACATTATTTTCGAAGAATCTCCAAGTATACTCACAGCTGACTTCTCATCAGAAACTCTTCAGGCTAGGAGAGAATGGAAAGACATAGTTTAAGTCTTAAGAAAAAAAATGGTCAACCCAGAATATTTTACCTTACAAAGCTCTCATTTATCAATGGAGGTGAAATAAAGACCTTCCATGACAAACATAAATTGAAAGTATTTGTCACCATTTGCCCAGCCTTACAAAAGATGCTTAAGGATGTGTTACACACAGAAACATGGTCATCAATATTAAAGAAGGTGAATGCAGAAAATCTCCCAGTAAAATTACAAAGGAAATCCAAAGCAAACAATAGGAATATTTATGGAAAAATGGCAGGCCCAAGTCATTACTTATCAATAGTCACCTTGACTGTAAATGGCCTCAACTCTACAGTTAAAAGTCCCAGACCAGCTGAAAAGATTAAAAAACAAGACTCAGCCAGTGCCACGGCTCAATAGGCTAATCCTCCACCTGCGGTGCCAGCACACTGGGTTCTATTCCCAGTTGGGGCACCAGATTCTGTCCCGGTTGCTTCTTTTCCAGGCCAGCTCTCTGCTGTGGCCTGGAAGTGCAGTGGAGGATGGCCCAAGTCCTTGGGCCCTGCACCCGCATGGCATACCAGGAGAAGCACCTGGCTCATACCTTCGGATCAGCGTGTTGCGCCGGCCGTAGCACACCAGCCGCGGCAGCCATTGGAGGGTGAACCAACAGCAAAGGAAGACCTTTCTTTCTGTCTCTCTCTCACTGTCCACTCTGCCTGTAAAAAAAATTAAAAAAAAAAAAGCTCAACTATTTGCTGGATACAAGAAACACATCTCACTGATAAAGACATATGCAGACTGAAAGTGAAAGGTTGGAATGGAAAAAGATACTCCATGCTAAGAGAAGACAAAAAAGAACAGGTGTAGCCATCCTAATATCAGACAAAATAGACTTTAACACAAAAACTGTTAAAAGAGATAAAGAATGACACTATGTGATCATGAAGGGATCAATTCAATAAGAACATGTGACTATAATAAATATATACGCACACACTACAGGGTGTCTGGCTACTTAAAAGAAATATTATTGAATCTAAAGGGAGACATAAGCTCCAATACAATGGTAATGCAGGACTTTAACATTCCACTTTCAGCAATGGACAAATCAAATAGACAGAAAAATCAATAAAGACCAATAGAGCTAATCAACACTACAGACCAAATGGACCTAAAGGGTATCTACAAAACTTTTCACCTTGCAGTTAGAGAAAACATATTCTTCTCATAAGTACTTGGAATGTTCTCTAGGATAGACCACATGCTAGGCCATAAAGCAAGTCTCAGCAAATTCAATACCATGCATTGTCTATGATCACAATGGAAGGAAGCTGGAAATCAATAAATGAAGAGTCTCTAGATCATATGCAAACATATGAAGACTGAAAAACATGTTCCTGAAAGAACAGTGGGTAATACAAGAAATGAAAGAAAAATCAAAAAATTTCTGGAAATGAACGAAGATAAAAATACAGCACTGGCCCCTCAGGCGCCCTCCGGCGAGGTGGGGAGACGCGAGGCCGCGGCTCTTTTCTTCTGGTTTCCTCAGCGCCCGGCGAGGGGAGCGCGCGGGGTAGGCGGGCAGGCTCACCTGAGCCGGCCCCGCGAGCGCGCCGGGGGCGGGGGCTTCCTCGCTCCACGCCGGTGGGGACCAGGAAACTCGTGCGGGCGGCGACCCCCGGCCCGGTTCCTGACTGGGCGGCGAGGCCCCCGGGACGCGACTCTCGTCCCTCGGGATTTTCTTCCCTCCCTGCCGCCCCACGCCGTCTCCTCTCTGGGCGCGTGCTCCCTCCGGGGAGGCGGTCGCGTGCGGCCGGCCATGCACTAGGCAGGGCTCGCCCTATGCGTCTGGGGAGCGCGGACCGCTGCCTCGGCCGCCGCCTGCTGCCGCTCGCGGAGCCGGAGCCGGAGCCGGAGCCGGAGCCGGAGCCGGAGCCAGGCCGGGGCGTCGAGCTGCCGGCGGCGCGGCCATGTGGGGCTAGCCCGCGCCGCGCCTGGCCTGCAGCGGAACCGGCAACATGGAGGCGGCCGTCGGCGCCCCGGACGGCGGGGACCAGGGCGGCGCGGGGCCCCGCGAGGACGCGACGCCCATGGACGCCTACCTGCGGAAACTGGGTTTGTATCGCAAACTGGTCGCCAAGGACGGGTCGTGCCTGTTCCGGGCCGTGGCGGAGCAGGTGTTGCACTCTCAGTCTCGTCATGTTGAAGTTAGAATGGCCTGTATTCACTATCTTCGAGAAAACAGAGAGAAATTTGAAGCGTTCATAGAAGGATCATTTGAAGAGTATTTAAAGCGTTTGCAAAATCCACAGGAGTGGGTAGGACAAGTGGAAATAAGTGCCCTTTCTCTTATGTACAGGAAAGATTTTATAATTTATCGGGAACCGAATGTTTCTCCGGCACAAGTAACTGAAAATAATTTTCCTGAAAAGGTATTACTATGTTTTTCAAATGGAAATCACTATGATATTGTTTACCCCATAAAGTATAAAGATAGTTCTGCTATGTGTCAGTCTCTTCTTTATGAATTGCTCTATGAGAAGGTATTTAAAGCTGATGTCAGTAAAATCGTGATGGGACTAGACACTTCTGAAGTAGCTGATGGAAACAACAGTGAAATATCAGATTCAGAGGATGATAGTTGCAAGAGGAAAACTGCTAATGATGTGAATGGATTTAAACCTTTGTCAGGCGATGAGCACTTGAAGAACAATGGGAATTCTACTAGCTTTCCCTTGTCTAGAAAGGTTCTTAAGTCACTCAATCCAGCAGTCTACAGAAATGTGGAATATGAAATTTGGCTGAAGTCTAAACAAGCTCAACAAAAGCGTGATTATTCCATTGCTGCTGGTTTACAATATGAAGTTGGAGAGAAATGCCAAGTTAGGTTGGATCACAATGGAAAATTTCCTAATGCAGATATTCAAGGAGTTCACTCTGAGAATGGACCAGTTTTGGTTGAAGAATTGGGAAAAAAACATGCCGTGAAGACCCTCAAACCACCTCCCCCAGAAAGCTGGAGCACAGTGTCAGGAAAGAAGATGAAAAAACCTTCTACTTCGGGACAAAATTTTCATTCTGAAATGGATTACAGAGGGCCAAAGAATCCAAGCAAGCCAATAAAAGCCCCATCAGTACTACCTCCTCGGCTCCAGCATCCTTTGGGAATAAGACAACATGCATTCTCTAGTCACTCTTCAGGGGCACAGTCTCAGAAATCCTCCAGTGAACACAAAAATCTTGCCCGGACACCTTCACAGATCATGAGAAAACTGGTCGTGAGAGAGCTGAGGATTTTGATCACACAAATAGAGAATCTCACTATTTTGGCCCCTCCCCTGAAGAACGCAGAGAGAAGCAAGCCATAGAAGAATCTCTTATACTTTAAGAGATTCAGAACAGAGATGAACAGGCTTTCCCAGCCCTTTCCATGTCATCAGTCAGTACATCAGCTTCTCAAAGTAGCAACCCATGTGTCCAGAGAAAATCATCCCACGGAAGTGATAGAAAAGGAAACAGGCGGAGAATGGACACAGAAGAACGGAAGGACAAAGACTCTGTCCATGGATCTACTCACTTGGATAAAAAACCTGAACCAAGTACATTAGAGAATATTAGTGATGATAGATGTGCAAGAGTTTCATCCCCATTGAAGTCAAAGAAATTAGAGTGCCCATCTCCTGCAGAACAAAAGCCAGCAGAACATGTGTCTCTGTCAAATCCAGCTCCCCTTCTAGTGTCTCCAGAGGTCCATCTAACTCCTGCGGTGCCTTCTTTACCAGCCACTGTGCCAGCCTGGCCAAGTGAACCTACAACTTTTGGACCAACAGTTCCTGTGTCAATACAGGCAGTTAACCAGCCCTTGATGCCTTTGCCTCAGACATTGAGCCTTTACCAGGACCCACTGTATCCTGGGTTTCCTTACAATGAAAAGGGAGATCGAGCCATTGCACCACCTTATTCACTGTGTCACACTGGAGAGGACTTGCCTAAAGATAAGAATATTCTTCGTTTCTTCTTCAATCTTGGAGTGAAGGCGTATAGTTGTCCGATGTGGGCCCCACATTCTTACCTGTACCCTCTGCACCAGGCCTACCTGGCAGCCTGCAGGATGTACCCAAAGGTCCCTGTCCCTGTCTATCCTCATAATCCTTGGTTCCAAGAAGCCCCTTCTGCTCAGAATGAAAGTGATTGTACCTGCACTGACACACACTTTCCTATGCAGACTGAGGCCAGTGTTAATGGCCAAATACCACAGGCAGAGATTGGACCGCCAACGTTTTCTTCACCTCTGGTTATCCCTCCATCTCAGGTGTCTGAAAGTGACGGACAGTTGTCTTACTAAGCTGATCTTGAATCTGAGAACCCTGGGCAGCTTCTTCATGCTGAATATGACGAATCACTAAGTGGCAAGAATATGTTCCCACAACCGTCCTTTGGACCTAATCCATTCTTAGGCCCAGTTCCCATTGCGCCTCCTTTCTTCCCTCATGTTTGGTATGGGTACCCTTTTCAGGGATTCATAGAAAACCCAGTAATGAGGCAGAATATTGTGCTGCCCTCTGACGAGAAAGGAGAATTGGATCTACCGCTGGAAAATCTGGATCTGTCTAAAGAATGTGCTTCCGTTTCAGCTGTAGAGGAGTTTCCCAAAGCCAGGGGTGAAGGTGCACATTCTCTCCCTGAAGCAAGTGTGAGCAGTAAGCATGAAGGCCGGGCAGAGCAGTCATCCCAGACACGGAAAGCAGATCTGGCACTGGCCTCCGTCCCTCCCGGAGGAGAGGGAAAGGCTCATCTTCCCACTCAGATTCTAAACAGAGAGAGGGAAACTGTGCCAGTTGAACCTGAGCCTAAAAGGACCATTCAGAGTCTGAAAGAAAAACCAAAAAAAGTAAAAGATCCTAAGACTGCTGCTGATGTGGTCAGCCCTGGGGCCAACTCTGTGGATAGCAGAGTGCAAAGACCAAAAGAAGAGAGTTCAGAAGATGAAAATGAAGTATCTAATATTTTGAGAAGTGGTAGATCCAAGCAGTTCTATAATCAAACTTATGGAGGCAGGAAATACAAAAGTGATTGGGGCTATTCTGGTAGGGGTGGCTATCAACACCTGAGAGCTGAGGAGCCCTGGAAAGGGCAGTCAAGCAGAGGCCGGGATGAAGGTTATCAGTACCATCGCAATGTCAGAGGACGGCCCTATAGGGGTGACAGGAGGAGATCAGGGATGGGAGATGGCCACAGGGGACAACACACTTGATGGTTGTTGCTGGAGTCTTTTAGAGCAGAAACCCTTTCTTAGGTGGAATGTTTCTGAAGGCTTTAAAAAATACATTAAAATAAAAACCCAAATTGGAACTGTCTCCTCCCCTCCACATTTAGCCTCGCTCCCATCCTGGACGAGAGAATCTGGACAGGACTTCAAGGGGGCAGGTGGATTTCTGGCATTGCCACTTCACTCACAGTTTGATTTATCAGGTGACTTCTCCCCTAACAATTAGGAAATAAGTTTGTTAAAGTATTTTTTATAAACAACTTAATATAAAACATTATAGATTTAGTGTTTGTTTTATTTTCCTTGTATAAGTTTGATTTTAAATGTTGGAAATGTGTGCTTTATAGTGTTTACTAAAGTGACAAGAAAATATACCATTTGACACACTATAGATTCCAAAATATAACATTGCACCAAATAGAAATGTTTATTTTATTATGCAATGCCTTAGTCGTAAACTGGGCGCAAACAGTTCTCAGCCTAAAACACTGTTGTCTTTTAAAATGCTTCCAACCCAAAGGCCTTTCATCTCAATATCTGTCAAACTTGAATAATGTCTTCTCTTTAATATTTCATATAAGGCAACCTATTACTTATGTCTTAGAAATGTTGTATATAGTTCTTTTAATATTCATAGGGTATATTTTTGAATTTTGGTGAGTATTTGTTGAATTTGAGAGTGCATACAAGAATAGATGTTTAGGAAATAGTAGGAAATCCACTGAAATGGCTGTTTCCACCAAGAATTCTTAGCACTGGTGTAAATATCATGGAGCCTACTCGAAAGATACGTAGATGCTATGCATTCTGAAAATAATCTGCATCTGTTAAAACTGCAGAAGTTTTTTAATGCCACTTTAACACTAATGCACTGACAGATTCTAAATATTTTGTGAGAACAAATGTTAAAAAATTTTAGCTTGACAGGTTTCTATAGAGTTCCTGTGTTTTGTTTTCTCCTTGCACCATTTGTTGGTTATGTGTCTCACCTTACATTTGCATGTTCAGCTTGTCATGGCTGGAATCATTGTACAAAATGAGATGATTGTGACTTCCAGGTCGTTTCTAGAGGACGCTGCTAGAAAGTGGTTTCGCTTTGCATTGGATAGTTTGTTACCCTGAGGTTGCAAGTCTTGGATCTTGTTCCTTCCAGTCCTTGCAGTATTCACTAGAGGTTTCCTTGGCATGTTGCACTCTCTTCTCCTTTGGACATTGGACTGTCTGCACAGTATTCATTCATTTGTGTTACTTTGTAAAATAACTAGCTTATATTTCTTTTTGTACATACCAATGTGAAAATCTACCTGCTTTTTTATGTTGATTACCTTTTTATCAGGAAGTTTGAGTGCTATGCAAATAATATAGTAGTAATTTCTCCTTGCATGCCATGTGTAATTATACCTAGCCAAAACTAGATGTCGTGGCTTTCTTGTTTTTTTGAAGCATATTACTTTAAAAGCAAATACAATTCACTTGAATTTGACAAACTGAAACAGACGAGTTTTCTGGGTTCTCTGTTAACCTATAGGAATGTTTGGATGCCAGCTTGGCTCAGTGAATCTCCACTGTACTGTAATAATGGTTATTTACCTCTGTGCTGTTTTAATTACCTAATGTCTGTGTAACTGCTGATTTGAGTAGTGATTAGCATTTAGATATTTTGTAACATAGGATTTTAGAGAGCACTTTGAAAGATAACATTTTATTATGATGGTGCTAGGTAAAATTTTGTAGACTGAAGTGGTTGTGTGGCAAAGAAAAAAATTCTTGGGAGAATCTGTTGAAAGGAATTTTTATCATCACCTTCTAAGCTAGAACCATTTGTGAAGGTACTGCTTAAGCCAGTGGCTAAATTATGCAATGAGAAGGTAGAGGGTCCTCCGCTTTCAGCTCATGCTTTTTTTTAGTGTAGTAGTGTTTATCTGATCATTTTTGTGAAAATCACATTTTGATATGAATACCAATTTAAAAGTTGAATGGTTGATCTCAGGAGTCCAAAAGAAGTGGCTGTTTCCAGTGTGCTTCGTTTTATTGACTGGGGTTTGAGCTCAGTTTCTGGAAATGTTAAAACATTGGATAGGAAAGAATGCTTAGTTGATTTCTTCACGGCCGTGCTGTCTTACCTCAATCGAGTAACAGTACTCTATAGCTCCTGAAGGAAACACATTTGCTTCCTGTTTCCTGTATCTCACCTCTAGGACATGATGGAAACAGTGCTGAAAGAATTTGAGCAGATGGTACTTTCCTCAGTGACCTCTGGAATAACAGAATTCTGACTTTTGATAGTTTTTTAAATATTAATTCTTGCATGAACGTCAGTTTTGTTTTCTTCTTTTAGGTTTGTTTTTAAATGTACTAGTCCAGGGGATTTTGCCTTATGCTGAGGTCAAATTAGGGCCAAGCAAGCTTTTGTCCTCCTTAATTTTAACTATGTCATATTGTCTATTGACATGAGATAAAATACTTCTGTGTAAGAGAAAAGCTGCAAAAGTATAGAACTGAGAATCATTTGTATTGATTTGGAAACCAAAACTTTATTGTATTATGATCATACATACACATTTTTGAAGAACAAGTATTTAGACTGACCAAAGCTCACCTGTTCGTTTTTAGTTAGGTGCTTTTGCTGAACTTGATTCTAGCCCCCCTTTTTAGTACTGTGTGTCTTTTCAAGTTCATTTCCCTTCAGACATACCTTTAACTCTTGCCCCAGGTGTTTATTGGCAGCAAGATGCTGGTGTCTGTGCATTCCCCATGCTGTTCCTGGTAACCCACGCGTTTATTTTCATGCAGACCGAAGCTCAGACCCTGCCTTGAACTGGCAATGAGTAGGTTTTCCCAAACTGCAGTGCTGATGCAGCTTATTTGATGCAGACCCTATGTTCTTGCAGTGTAGTGTTTCCTTTTTGACTCAGGGTAAATTAAATGCCTGTGAACTGCAAACTTGCTTATGATTGACTTGGTGCAATAAAATTCCTTTCTAACCATTTGTGGTTTAGGAAATGTTCAGCCATCTTAGAAATTAGCAATATTTATTTTTGCCTCACTTGTTTTACTTTGTTTTAGATGAGATAAACTGTCTTTTCACTTATGGGTACTTCAGCAAGGTCCATTCTGGTGTAGCCGAAGAGAATGTGTATTTGGCTACACTGGTTCTGTTTACTATAGTTTGCTCCCTATTTTATGTCTAAATGCTATTATTTTCATTCAGAATCTCAGTGGCTCACTTCCAGTATGTCAGTTTCAAAGATCTGAGGTTTTGCTACTAGTGTCAGCTATTGACTCTCCCACTAATTTTTTTAAGAAAAAATTTCCCCCCTGAAATACAAGTTTTAGAAAATCATAAGGGGTGGGTGCATGTCTTAATGCTGAGCAGCAGCAACTTTGGGGTTGAATTTACTTGAATGGATTAAAAATTGCATTTGTTACAGAGCTAGAAAAAAATTTATGTATGGAAAATGATAATAGCCTTACACTGAGTAAAAATAATACTTAAAAGCATGTGAAGATGTGATCACTTGTGATGTTACTTGTAAAAAAAAGTATATATATACATATCTTTTGAAGTGTTGAAAGGAACATAGTACTTTATATTCTTTATCATATCACTTTTTGTAAGTGTTGAATATATCCCTGTTTATTTTTCTATGTTCTGTTTTCTAGCCTTAAGAAGTGTTTCAAACATATCTGAATGTATAAAATAAGATAAATGCCCTACATGGTGTGATGCTGCATTATATATAAAAACTGTGTGCATATATTAAATTTTGTCTCTTGAAAAAAAAATACAGCACAAAAATTTATGGGATAATCAAGGTGGCATGTACCAATGCCATCTCACTAGTCCAAGTGATCAATTTCAGTTCACAATTGATCATAATGAAAGGACTAAGAGTCAATGGGATCACATAAACAAGTCTAGTGCCTGCTAATAGTAACCAATAGAATAAATAAAGGGGAGAGGGATCCAACATGGGAAGCGAGATACACAACAGACTCATAGAATGGCAGATGTCCTAAACAGCACTCTGGCCTCAGAATCAGCCCTAAAGACATTCGGATCCGGCTGAAAAGCCCATGAGAGTATTTCAGGCATGGAAAGCCAAACACTCTGGAAAAAAAAAAAAACCAACCACCTAAATGAAAGATCTCTGTGAGTGAGATCCCAGTGGAAAGAATAGGTCTTCAAAGAAGGAGGTACCTTTCTCTGAAGGGAGGAGAGAACTTCCACTTTGACTATGACCTTGTCTAAACAAGATAAGAGTCAGAGAACTCAAAAGGCTTCCATAGCCTTGGAAACTCATGACTGGAGCATAGGGAGATTACTGATGCCATAAACAGGAGTGTCAATTTGTAAAGTCAACAACAGGAGTCACTGTGCACTTACTCCTCATGTAGGATCTCTGTCCTTAATGTGCTGTACATTGAGATCTAATGCTATAATGAGTACTCAAACAGTATTTTTCACTTTGTGTTTCTATGTGGGTGCAAACCGTTGAAATCTTTACTTAATGTATACTAAACTGATCTTCTGTATATATAGAAAATTGAAAATGAATCTTGATATGAATGGAAGGGGAGAGAGAGCAGGAAAGGGGAGGGTTGCAGGTGGGAGGGAAGTCATTGGGGAGGGGGGAAGCCAATGTAATCCATAAGCTGTATTTTGGAAATCTATATTCATTAAATACAAGTTTAAAAAAATTTATAGGATACAGAAAAAGTAGTGTTATGAGGGAATTTTATAGCAATTGGTGCTTACATTAAGAAGTTGGAAAGGTATCAAATAAATGAGCTATCAATGCATCTCAAGGACCTAGAAAAACAGCAACAAATCAAACCCAAAGCTAGTAGGAGGAAAGAGACCATTAAGATTAAAGAAAAATAAATAAAATTGAAACAAAAAAATACAAAAGAGTGAAATCAAGAGCTGGTTTTTTGAAAAAATAAACAAAATTCATACACCATTGGCCAAACTAACCAAAAAAAAAAAAAAGAGGGGGAAGACCAAATCAATAAAATCAGAGATGAAAAAGGAAATGCAACAACAGATACCACAAAAATAAAAAGAATCATCAGGAATTACTAAAAAGAGATGTATGCCAACAAACTGGGAAACCTAGAAGAAATGGATAGATTTCTGTACACATACAATCGACCAAAATTGAGTCATGATGACACAGAGAATCTACACAGAACAATAACCAAGACAGAAATTGAATCAGTAATAAAGACCCTCCCAACAAAGAAAAGCCCAAGACTGGATGGCTTCATTGCTGAATTCTACC